GCACCGGACATTCGTTTTTCGACCTCTCAATTTAGTAAAGAACACCGTGAATGAGAGAATGTAGTTAGTAGGATTTTTGTGGGCGGGGTTTTATTTATGTGGCTATGTGAATGCATTTTGAGAAAGATATGTGACTCTCACTCCAGACGGACGTGCCAGGGCTTTTGTGGGATATTCATTGTTCAATTAACTAATTGAGAATCTTTTCTCTTTTTAAATGTTTTACTCATTTCATTGAAATAAAAAGAATGAAATGTTAAAAAGAAATTAATGACCGAATTTTTAGTATGTTTTTGATTGAGGTCATGAACTGATGAATTTTAGACCATTGTTGAAACCATGTGCTCGCCAGTAATTGGCTTAGTGAAGTGATTCTCGGAGTTCTAGTGAGAAACCATATCAGGTAGAGACAGATATCTACCTCAGTACAATCGAAGATGGTCATATAATTTTGTCGTTTGTTTGAATTTAGGTACTAACATCATTGAATGTTGGCCAGACCAGTAGTCTACAGGTTAACTGTTCGTGCACAAGACTCAAAGTCCTGCGCTCGAGTCCCACATGTGGGATCATAGTTTTGCACTGTTGAGGAACCTTACACTAAGACAAAATGGCCATCTAGTGCTTCCAGGTTTTCAACCGTGGTCTAACATTCATCGATCCATGATTTCAATCAAAATACTTAATAATCTTCATAACTACACACTATATTATTATTGAGAAGATTATAAATCATAAATTGACCTGTTTGTTTATATCCTCTGATTGCACTGTTCAATTTGTAATGGTTGACATAAACAAAAGCATTGAAATAGACTATCTCTATTAATAATAATAATACTAATAGTACTAATCTCAATGATATCATTTAGTTAAAGTCATTGTGAGCTAGTTAAATATAGGATATATACATATATATAAGAATGAAATGTGTCATTAAAACTACTTCTTATACTAACTGTTATTGACAGTTAGATTAAAATGATATGAATAGAATAAAACACCTTAAATGTTCACTATTTATAAACTAGATTTGACTATGTTTGTTGATTTATAGTGTAAACAATAAGATTTTCTGATTAGTATTGAGGAAAGATTGATGAGGAAAGTAACCAACTACATTACAATGCAAGCTCTCACATAGAATACTCAAGGCTAATGGAGAAGTGGAAGACCAAGGAATATATTACGACGTAAAGTGGAGACAGACATTAAAAGAAGGAATAACGATTGGATAGAACTAGAAAGGTACACCTAGAAGAAGTAAGTAAGTAAGTAAGTAAGTAAGTAAGTGAGTAAGTAAGTAAAATAAAGTATGCAATACGTTTTAGATACCAGGAGTTTTTCTAATGTTTGGTTAACCTCTTCAGTGACGACAAAGATCATTATAGGAATTTGCCTGGATTGTAGTATTTGTGCTCACTTGTGACTAGTTTCAAGATAGATTTTCTGTAGTTCTACTGAGAATTGATGGCCATTATATTTCGATCGATGTTAGGTGTGAGACATTTATCTACATCACTCGATGGATGAAAGGTTACGCAAGATCATGGATCGATTAAAGTTAAAGATGAACACCGTTGATTGCTGGCTTAATGGTGTAGAGGTCAAACGTTCTCACGCGAGATCAAATTTCCTTGAGTCGATTTCCATGTACGAGATCGTGAATGTGCCTGATTGAGGAGTCGCATACTATAACGAAACGGCTATCTAGATTAGCTTATTTTGTGAATTCAACTGTCGAGAACATAATGATGGCTGATACTTTCTTATTTATGTATTAATATACACTTTTAGAGTCTACTGGTTACTTCGATTTTTTTGTAGAGTACTTCAATGTAACAAGAAGTTTCTATTTGGATTGGTATGGAGTAAAGACCTACTAAAAACTTGAGATAAATGTTTAATCTTCAGTTGAATGATTAAGAGGCCCAAGATTAAGTTATGAATGACAAGTTTCAAGTAGCATACATAATACCTATTTAAACAGTATCATTAGGTGACAACGTTTCATGAAATTACACTATCATTCATCAATTTTTCAATCAAATACTGTTTATGTATAGTAAAGGATGAATCAGAATTTACTGTGATAACATTTGGAAGTATCAGGATTGAAACATAAGACACCTTTGAAATTGATTGGTAGTTATTACTTGCTAAAAATAAGATAGATGAATTTCAACTAAATGATATCAGCTAATGTTAACTGGTTAGAGCTTGTTAGAAATAAATCTTGGGTTTCGGTTATATATTAGTTACTAATCGTCAGTATATTGTAACTTCAATTATTGATCACACTGTGAATTGACAGACATGATTTGATTGGCATTCATTTTATTTCTTTAAGCACGTAAACATTGGTACAAGAAAGCACCAAACAGATATGAATCACATAAATTATTCGATTTCTGTGAGGGATATGATACTGAACACGTGCCTAAATCGAACAAGGTGATTCGCTTAGGAGGCCACACTCGGCGCCGTCGACCTAAAGGTCTGATCCACAAAGTAGTGTAGTGGAGGAACGTCAGGAGATGTAGTCACATGGTTGCCGGTCACCAATAATTGATTCAAAAATTATTTGTTCTTTCAGGATTCTATAATCCATGTGTACCATTTGTGTGGAATCAGAGTTTTCCAATTCGCCTAGACGGACTGTTTGTATCCACCATCTCGGTTAAAGCACCGAATATTCGTTTTCCGTCCTCTCAATTTCGTCGACAACACCGTGGATGAGAGAAGACAGTGAGTACTACTTCCGTAGGAGTGGTTGTACTGACTTAGCCATGTGAGTGCATTTTGAGAAAGAATGCTGACTCTTCTCACTCTCGCCCGTACCAGGGTATTCGGGGGCAAGTACTAAAGGAATATGAAATTATTCACAAAATCGTAATCAATCAATATAAATATTCAAGTCCTAATCGAAGCTGAACGTAGAAACATCAATCCATCTGACACGAGTTTTAATCTCATGTGAATCATTAGTTTCAGCAAGAATGTACATGTCACTTGCTGACAAGTGACAATCAACACAAAACCTATATCCAGGGTTTATAGCAATCTATGTCGAAACGACTTGCATCGGTACGTAATTTATCCTAAGTCAGATCACTTAGATTAGTGGCTGTATTCCATTTTGACTGACAGAATTCAATCAGGATTTATAATTAGATGAACAAAACATTGATTACTACGCAGAACTAGTTATTTTAAATGGTCTGAACCGTTTGTATTAGCTGTAAAACCGTCACTTATAGATTACGGAAACTTGTTAAGGTATGTTTTTTCTTATATATTTACTAGCGGAGTTGTTTAGAAAAATAAAAAAGGGTTCAGGCAACAAAATAGCCCCTGGAACCCTCCTTCTGAGCTATAATTCCTCATTATCATCTCAAAACTTTACTATCCTTAACTGATTTTGGCTAAGACTATTGAATACATACTATTTTATCCCACTTATATCGTGATCTGTTTTCGATTGAGCGTGACCGGAATAATCTAATCTAAATATATTCTCTGTTGTACATCGGTATTATCTATAGGATTTTTGTGGCCCGGTATCTGACTGCAATTAGATCAGACAAATATTACTTTAGGATTTGGTGGCGTCGACACCCGAACTAATGATAGGGAGTGAAGTAGTTGAGCCTGTCGACCGCTTCACTTATTTTGGGAGTCTAATCAGCCTTTGTGGTCTGGTGTGTGACGAAATCTCAGCACGGATACAAAAGGCTCGACTAGCTTTCGCCAACTTTCGTCATTTATGGCGTAGGCGAGATATCCGTCTATCAACCAAAGGACGAGTTTACTGCGCAGCAGTTCATTCCGTCCTACTTTATGGCAGTCAAACATGGCCGGTAAGAGTAGAGGATATTCGTAGGTTACTAATATTTGATCATTGGTGTCTTCGAAACATTGCTCGTATATCATGGGACCATCGAGTAAGTAACACAGTTGTTAGGAAACGGGTACTAGGTAAGGGTGGCAAATCAATTGATGAAGTAGTGAAACTTCATCGGTTGAGATGGCTGGGACACGTGTTACGCATGCCCAACCACCGAATGCCTCGACGTGGGATGTTCAATGGTGTAGGAGTAGGTTGGAGGAAAGCTTGGGTGGCCAGACCAAAACATAGCAGAAATCCATGAAGTCACTGACAAGTGAACTGAGGCATGTTGGTAGGTGTAGACTACCTGGTTGGGGTTCGCGAGGTTATAGGAACCGACGGTTAGAGACCCTGAATGACAGGGTTCAAAATCGTTTGCAATAACGCAGGTGTATTCACTCTTTGTGTTCTCCCGAATTCTAATTTTCTGAATTCTTCGTTTAACTTTTTTCTCTTTCCAAATTTATTTCACTAGATTATACTCGTTGAATAACATCTTCAAACCCTAATGTTTCCGATTATTGCTTATACTCTTACTACCACTTCGACTACGGGATTTGAATGGACAACTGCATCTCTGTGCTAATGTGGTATGGCAACTCGAACTGATGTACGTACGTACTAAGTTCTACGTTGTTACTGACTGAGATCGGACAAATGATCGTTATTGAATGATTGCTTTTGAACTAGACATTCTGATTATTCTCATATATTATTGTTGAATTAAATCGCGTTAGTAAAGAACGGACTGGATCAACCTTCTCCTTTAGGACATATCAGAATCATCACTTCTAATTTTGTCACAGAGTAAACACTTGTATTTTAGGCTACCCAGGATAGTATGTTACATTTTAAACAGCTTAATGATGTATGCTTTACGAGATACTAACTTCATTTGATTCGTAATTCTATACAACCATCATTTCGTACCATTTCGCTACTAATGTAATTTAAACTTCATTTGCATACACATTCTTCTTGGAACTTTGAGAAAAATTCCACAACATGAAATGTTTCTAATTAGACTGTCATAAGTATCATCGACTTCATTATAAGAAAAGTATAAATAAAAGATCATTTCATGAATGTAAAATAAAAAGAATAAAATTACCGTATTCAATTGTCGTTTTGAAGTTAAATCTGTAAATGGATTTTCAATTGAAGGATTTGTTTGCCAATAACTTTTTGATTTTAAACTAGATTTATTCCACATAGCATCAAGTAATGGTTCACGCCATCTTGCTTGAAGGAATATATCTGCTTGATATCGTTCATTCACTGTATCAACTTGACCAACTTTAACAAATATTAAAACTAATTCAACACGAGCCTGAAAAATGATCAAAATAAATGAAATCGACAGTTTAATATGTGATGTATATCGACAATGAAAGATATTTGCGAAATAAACTCATTATAACATTTAAGTAACCATTTCGAATTGAACTAAGTTATTATTTATTTATTTTAACACATTGATATTGGTACAAAGAGGCACCAAACAGATATGCGCCACACAAATCTCATTCAATGTGTGAGGGCTGTGATACTGCTTTGGCGCCCAAACCGAAACAGGTGATTTTCTTAGGGTGCCATTCCCCGAGCCTTCGACCTGAAGGTCTAATCCACAAGGCAGTGGAGCATCGTGAGGAGATGTAGTTCCATGGAAGCCGGTGACCAGTAATTGGTTTATACACCATTTGTTCCCGCAGGATACTGGAGCCCATGTGCACCATTGGTTTGGAATCCGGTTAAAGCGCCTAATATTCGCTTTACGTCCTCTCAATTTCGTAAACAGAACCGTCGTTGAGAGAAGGCAGTGAGTAGGACGTCCCTGGCAGAGGCTATATACGCGTGGCCATGTGAGAGCATTTCGAGAAGGAGAGTGGACTCTCCCCACTCTCGGCCGTACCAGGGCATTTGGGGGCCTGAGTTAAATGACAGAATAAATGGCAAATCATTTAGACACTTATGGTCACCACTGATTAATATCTCAATGTCATCATATTACTTATAAGCAAAGATGGATAGTGGCTAAAAGTGACATTTAGGAAGCGCGTTTCGTTCTATCCATGTTTGCTTAAAATATTTGTAACTTAATGCAATATTGAGGGAGTCCACACAGGATACATATATGGTATCAAGAGATTGATTAATTGCAATCGTAAACAACAATTGGAAGATACAAGCAAACAAAACCAAGTGAAAACACATCTATGTTGTTTTTTGTTCGTGAATTATAAGGTTTGAATACTAGCAGAATACTCAAAAAATTGGAATTTGACCAAGAGATGATTTCAATTACGTAATGGAAATCCGGTTTGTCTAATGAATTTATTCATGACTTTCATATTAACTAGTGTATTTTTTGGGAACAGTGCCCCCAAATGTCCTGGTACAGCCGAGATTGAGGAGAGTTAGCTATCTTTCTCAAAATGCACACACATGGCCACGTAAATAAAACCACTGCCACGGAAATCCTACTAACTACCTTCTCTCTTTCACAATGCTGTTTAACAAATTGAGAGGACGAAAAACGAATATCCGTCCCTTTAACAGGGATGATGGATACAGACAGTCCATCTAGGGGAGTTGGAAAACTCTGATTCCACATAAATGGTACACATGAATTAAAGAATCCTGGAGAAACAAATAGTGTATGAACCACTTGTTGGTGACCGGCAACCATGTGACTACATCTCCTGACGTTCCTCCACTACACTACCTTGTGGATTAGACTTCTAGGTTGATGGCTTCGAGTGTGGCCTCCTAAGCAAATCACCTTGTTCGATTTAGGCACGTGTTCAGTATCATATCCCTCATAGAAATCGAATAATTTATGTGATTCATATCCGTTTGGTGCTTTCTTGTACCAATGTTTATATGTTTAAATAAATAAATAAAACGTAGGGACAATGAGAGTCTTCACTTCACCTCTGTACTCACCTTTCTACACTAGAGGTGTGCGATTCAGAGGTTCAGAAGATTAAATAAAACCATTACAATAAAATATAATTTTTAAATGAACACTAATGTATGAATAGGAATTTAGTTCAACATAAAAGATAACAATATTTTATGCAATCAAGTTAAATTGCATATCCAACGATACCGCAAAATATAAGGTGGCGAGTAGCATAGAGAGATGGTCTAGTACTATTATTCACAAATGGTGTAAGATAAACATCACTGGATGGCTTTTTCGTACTAGTACGGTATTTCCAAGGAGTGTGTTTCCATAACCTCATAAATGAGAATCAAACGCAAGATCTAAATTCTCGCACGCGAACACAACCTCTGGACCAATGAGCTTACATTCAACAGTGTTAATTTCTAACTTCAATCAATCTATAATAAGATCGAAATTTCAGCTCTGAAAACACTACATTCTCCAAAACTGGGTCATACTAGAAAATAATTATCTTACTTTATTCACATTATAATCTATTACATGACGTTTTCTTTACAAATACACATTGTTTCTTAATATCATTTACATTACATAATCTGATATTGTAATCTTACTATTATGTCATCATTTTTATTATTTGTTCATTTTATCTTACTTAAAATTTTATATATCAATAAGCATAGATGTATATCAGAAGAGGTTTTGTGGAGATCGTAGTAATTTCAATGATTGGACGGCCGTTTCGTCCTATTGGGAGACTCCTCAGTAGTGCGCACACACGATCCCGCCTTGTGAGATTCGAATCCAGGACCTATCAGTCTCGTGTGCGAGCGCTTAACCTCTAGGTCACTGATGATTATACAGTTTAATGATAAACTGGTTGAAAATAGATCCTATCAGGAAACTTCATATTTATTAATGTATGTTCAGTTTTTAACGATAAAGTCATTCACTGTATGATGCATACGTTTACCCACAAATCGATTTATATAGTCTCTTATCAAAATCAAACTATTCCTTTTCAAATTTCTACTGAACGTAAATTTATTTATAAATCCTGCTGTAGCTCTTTGAGGGTTACTGACGATCTCAAACACAGGGTTAGACATAGGGTAAGCAATGAAATCCCACAAAAAACGTTAACCAGAATAAACGATTTAAACCATTTTAACTCTCTCCTAAGAGTTGAAAGATGCTCATTCAGAAGAAGAATTATGACGTCTCTTGGTGAAAGCCAACACTCCTCTGAAGTTACGAGACCGATGATACTTCTAATAACAATTATGATAGGTATATAAAATGTCCGCACAATGTGGGAGACTGGGAGGACCAGTCAAACACCTATAGAAAGAAGAGATACAAATTGACAGCGCTCGAAATAAATGAAACTCATTTGACTCATACTGAAGAGAAAACATTAGGATTGGGAGAGATGCTGTTATACTCTGGTCACGAAGAAGGAAATGCTCCAAACATTCACATAGTTGCTCTGGTGCTTTCCAAAGAAGCACCAAAAGCACCTATTGAATGAGAATCTCATAGATCCAGAATCATCAAAGCATCCTTCAAAACAAAGAAGAAGGAAATAACAATGAATGTTATCAAATGTGATGCATCTACCAATGATAGGAACGAAAACACTGAAGATCAGTTCTACAAGAAGCTGAAATCGATCAGAGTGAAGTGCCCAAGTAAGGATTTGATAGGAGACTTAAATGTTAAAGTCAGAATGGAAAATATAGGATATGGAGACATCATAGGACAACATGAACTTCATAGATGACCTAAATTTTCTATCCTACACACACCAATTAATGAAAATGAAGACAGGCAGTATAGCATCAGCCTTTAGAGTAGTAAACCTCAACATACACAAGGAAAAAACCAAAATCCAGAAATGCAACATGAAGGACATCATCTCAGTCACAATTGATGGAGAAGTTGTGAAATATGCTGAATTTTTCATGTACCTGAACAGCATCTTTGATGAATAAGAAGGATCTGACATATATGTACAGGAAAGGATTGGCAAATCAAAAACAACATTCATATAATTGAAGAATATATGCAACTCAAAACAACTGTCAACCAATATCAAAGTCAGAATTTGCAATACGAATGTCAAGACAGTTCTACTGTATGGAGCTGAACAGTAGTATATTCGGATAATCATACCATCTTTCTTTCTCTCATTTTCATTAAAATAAGTCACTTTTTTGAAACTGTTAATGAAAAACTGTTCACATGACAAGGTGAATAACTTAATAACTTAAACACTTTGGGGTGAGACTCTAATTTGTGGACGACTTTTGAACGACACTACTTACTAAGACTAACTCAGGGTTATAAAGCAGTTTGAAGAATATGGAATAAGATTTACAATTGATGATATTGAGACGGCATCTGAGAACTATGACAGAGCCTTCAGAAGCCCTAACTGAGCTGAACAGTTCCATTCAATCAGAATGTAATGGAGCTTCCTAGAATATCAACGTGTCATGCCACTATTGGGTTAAGAATTAAATTTATAGTTTTCATCATGAACTGACATCAACTAGAATGCCAAAATTTTATTTAGTCAAATAGTTGAACGAATTTCGCGCCAAGACTTTTATCTTAAATCTGATTGGTTCATTCATGAATTATTATCTCATCGCATTTAGATAATTCCATATTGGATTGAAATGAGTTATAAGCTTTTTTATCAAACTATGTTTATATCAAAATAAATAGGGCAATTCATTGTTTAACTTAAATTCTTGTACATAAACATTCATGTATTTATCGGTGTTCTATCATAAAACAAACAGAACTTGATAAGATAAGACAAATGAAAAGCAGAATATTAATGTAAAGAACAGTTTTATGATAATATTTACATAAATGTAATCTAACTAGAATTGATAAAACACTATAAACATGTAGAGAACTTGATCTAAAAAACTGTTCACAATTGAACATGTCTCTTTTTCCAAATGATAATGTGAGTTAGTAACTCACTGATGAAGACAATGGTGGATGTGTCGCTCGATTTCGTGAATTAATTGAAGTTAGACATTAATACCGTCGGATGTCGCCAGGCTTAGTGGTCTAGTGGTTAAGCGCTCATGTGCGAGACTGATAGATCCTGTATTCGATCATTGAGGAGTCCAACATTGGGACGAAACGGCCATCTATTACTGCCGTTTATGATGGTCTAGCTTTAATTGACTCATGATCTCAACCACTGAAATTACTATAATATCCACAAAAAATCCTTCTGTAATGAAAAACGATCTATAGAATTGTGGTATGTGCTACTTATATCGATATAAGTAGTGTACAACACTAGTCAATAATAGAATGTCTGGCAGCAGGAAATTGAGAAGATCAAGAAGAGAAGAACGGGAAAAGAAAGAAGTTGCTATGGAAATGTAAGG